GAAGAGCGTTCTGGTCTCAGGGGAAAGCAGATGCCAAGGCCCTGGATCGGGCCAGGGCCTGGAACGTTCGAGGAGCCAGGAGCGGTCTGGGGTGGCTGCGGAGCAGTGGGCCGGGTGCTGGAAAGGAGGGCCTGAGCCTACGCGAGGCGAGGGATGCTGTCAACCGCGTTATTCTAGGCGAGACGGAAAGCCAGTGAGGGGCTTCAGGCAGGAGGAGGACTATCTGGGCTACCCTGGATCTGCCTGGAGACTTACTTGGAGACGGTCAGGCAGGGAACAGTGAGAAGGCTGCTGCAGGAGCCCAGGAGTAGCACGGAGGCCTCACTTGGGAACCCGGCATGGAGAGGAGAGGGGAGGGGGATGGAGGGTGATGGGGGAATCGGATGTAGGGGAAAACGGGGGAGAAAGGAACAATAAGAAAGGGTTTCCGTGCCCTTGGCTAAAGCAACTAGACAGATGGTGAAGCCATTTAAACTGAGATGGGAAGACCAGGGTTAAGGTCTAGGCTTCAGGAATTCTGTCTTGGGGCTGTTGCATCTGAGATGCCTGTTAGGTAACTAAGCAGGAATCACAGTCCAGCGTAACATATACAGGTTGGAAACTCAGGGAAGGGGTTTTGGCCAGAAATGAAAATGAGGTCATCAGATGCAGGTGACATTGAGACCCCTAGCCTTGGATGAGGTCACCCAGGGAGAGTGTTTATTCATTCAACATTGGAAAATCCTTACTGAGTCTCTGCTGTGTGCCAGGCGCCCTTCTCAGTCTGGGGAGACAGCTGTGAACAAGGGGGACAAGAGCTCTGATCTTAAGGAGCTTACGTCCTGTGAGGGAGACAGACATTAAATGTGTTCTAGAATGTTCAGTAGTAATAAGTGGGCATGGAGCTAGCGAGGATGCCTGCCTTAGTGGGTATGTGTTTAGGGCAGGCAGGCAGGTGGAGCCTGAGCAGATTCCTGAGGGAGGATGGGAGGGGCGGCAGAAGCCCTGCCTGTACGAAGGGTCTAGGAGCACAGGCCAGGCACTGGGGGCAGGGGCGCTGGGGGCGGCCCATCCTGTGTGCCCTGCTCAGGGGCTGCTTTATGCCACTGCCATCGAGAGTCATGAGCGGACTTGACCCGGGGGAGTCAGTCCTGCTGCTGCGTGAGGTGGGTGAGGGCAGCTGCTCAGGGAGGCTGGCGGGGGCTCCTGGGCGATTCAGGTGAGAGCAGGGCCTCATGCCAGGCCGGGGTGGTGGGGACACTTTGAAGTCAGAGCCAACAGGTGTGTTGGCTCCGGGGTGTGAGAGAGAGGATCCCTCGGAGATGGTGGTCTGAGCACTTGGCTAGGCGGGGCTGCCAGCTACTGGTGTCGAGAAGGCTGGCGGAGGAGCCGCGGCCGATCTCAGGAAGCAAGTGGGGCCGCAGCTGTGCACACGGGGGCCCGTTAGCCAATAGACAGTGTTCAAAGCTCTGGGGCGGAGGAGCTCACCTGGGGAGTGAGTGTCACTAGGGAACAGGGAGGCCTCGCATTCTGGGGCACTCCATTGCTTATGTGTCAGAGAGAGCCGTGTCGGAGCCGCTGATCGGCCCCGAGAGGTGGGCTGAGCCGGACCTTTGGCTCTGGCAACGTGGCGGCCGCGCGTGCCCACCCTCGTGGGGGTGTGGGCAGTGAGTGTAGGCAGGACTCTTTCTGTGTAGATGGGAACGCAGAACTAGGGGGTGCCTGGAGAGGACCGTGTGGGCTGGCGAGACGTTGGATGGAGCATGTGGCGGCACGTTGGGCGGCTGCTGTGGGCCAGCGGGGAAGCCGGGCTCGGGGACAGGCGCAGGGAGTGCCGGAAGACAAGGTCGTCCTCTCCCTACCCAGTCTGCGAACCTCCTCAGGCTGGACAGAACAGCGTTTATGTTTCTCCCAGAAAAATCTCAAAGTCCCCAGCCATCCCCCGAAGTGTGTTCCGTCTCGGTTCTCCTCTGTGTGTATGCTGGCGCCCTCCCTGTGCCTATCGCTGTGTCCTGCAGTCCAGTCGGGAGGACTGTCCTGGGTCGGCAGCGCCTGCGTGTTGCAGTCCGGGCCGGGTGTGGGGTGTGGAGCCTGCGCCCCCACCAGAGCCACATCGTGCCCGTCTGGTGGCCTTTGGGCATTTGGCTGGGGAGATGATTGTCCCGGCTTTGACTCGTTCTCCCGTTTCAGGCTCTCTTGTCTGTGCTCAGCATTATTATATATGTTAGAAAACACCATTTGCTGGTTAGAATTTGATCACCGGCAACACTTCTTTCATATTAATGTGGCTCATAAAGGGAATTAAGGTGTCTTTTAAAGTCATCAATGGTTTTTCTAGAAATCATCTCCACCAAAATTAAGAAACTAAGTTAATGTGTTTATGGTTTTAGAATCCTGCAGTGCTTAGACCTTAAAAGTTGAAGTTTATGTGTCTGTTTCAGAATGACATCAACAAGTGCTGCAGAATCACCCTGCAGGCAGGTGGTGGCTGAGTCTGGGGTAGAGGACAGTTTGCACCTGGCTGTAGCTAGTTATCCCCAACTTAACTGCCTTCTCCCAACCCGCTCCCGACACATTTCCGCAGCGCCTCAGAGGCAGCCCCATGCCAGGCCCCCGCTCAGCCTGCCCTTCCCTGGAGTGCCCGTTCCCCTTTCTCAGTCTGGTCATTGTCCACTCAGTAACCAAGGTACAGCCTTTGATGCCCAGGTCAGAACGTGTCCCCCTTGTCTGTAGTCCTCGAGCAGCCCTCTGAGCCTTAGAGATGGCACCTTGCAGATGTACATCTGCTGCAGGGTGTTCTAAGACAGGGCCAAGACCTTCCTTTTATGCATCTTTCATGTTGCCTTCAGCGCATAGTCTCTTACATGGTTCAGGAGCTCACTAAATGTTTGTTAAAATGAACGCTTTAGTCACCTAAGGTGAAGTGACAGGAGCTTTTTAAAAATATATATATATATATTTATTTATTTATTTATTTTTGGCTGTGTTGGGTCTTCATTGCTGCACGCCTACTTTCTCTAGTTGCGGCGAGTGGGGGCTACTCTCCGTTGCAGTGCGCGGGCTTCTCATTGCAGTGGCTTCTCTTGTTGCAGAGCGTGGGCTCTAGGTGCGCGGGCTTCAGTAGCTGTGGCTCACGGGCTCTAGAGCGCAGGCTCAGTAGTTGTGGTGCACGGGTTTAGTTGCTCCGCGGCATGTGGCATCTTCCCGGACCGGAGCTCGAACCCATGTCCCCTGTGTTGGCAGGTGGATTCTTTACCACGGCGCCACCAGGGAAGTCCAGCAGGTGGCTTCTTAACCACTGAGCCACCAGGGAAGTCTGATAAGAGATTTTTAAGAGGACTTATTAGTAGAAGAAATATAGATTTGAAAATTGGATCACCAAATAGAAATTGATTTGACAGGAAAGTCAGGAGGAAGAGGTTATAGGCTACCGTGCCAGAGTTCCTTTGGGTGTCTCTATTTAGAGAAGCTTTGCAGAACACTAAAGAAAATAATCAGAACATGATGCTGATTATGGAGCTGTCCATGAACGATCTACAGTGTTAGGTTAGTCTAACGATCTTGATTCTTGGTTAGTCTAACAATTTTCAATTCAAAGCTGAATTCGATATTTGGTGTCCTCCTTGGACCCTGTCTGGAAGGACTTAGTTACGGAGGTGCCAAAGGGGTGTAGTGAGATGCTGAAGTGCAGAGAAACACCCAGATAACTTTATCTGCATGCCTTTGTGAGATGGGCCCTGTGGATGCCTCCCTGGGGGTCGGGTGTGCAGTGAGGGTGAGGAGAGGGCCCAGCACCTACAGGAGCACACGATGGTAACAGGGGTGGAATTAGAGGCAGTTGAGCATTTGTGGGGACTTACAGTGTCACAAGCATTGCTTTCTTTTGTCTTCATAGATTGTCATTCAATCCTCACATCAACCTTTGAGATGGGAATTATTATCCCTGGTTTACAGACTAGGAAACTGAGATCCATGCCACATAGCTATTAAATGTCAGGGCTGGAAATTGAGCCCAGGTGTCGACCTAAAGCCAGTCCTCTTTCTACCATTCAAAATCAGAGAAATACTTTGGAGAGAGAATCAGCAGGACTTAGGGTTAAACTGAAACTCTTATTTAAATCAATTAATTAATTTATTTATTTATTTTTGGCTGCATTGGGTCTTCGTTGCTGTGTGGGCTTTCTCTAGTTGCGGTGAGCGGGGGCTACTCTTCGTTGCGGTGTGCGGGCTTCTTCATTGTTGTGGCTTCTCTTGTTGCAGAACACAGGCTCTAGAGCACAGGCTCAGTAGTTGTGGCACACGGGCTCAGTAGTTGTGGCACATAGGCTCAGTAGTTGTGGCACACAGGCTCAGTAGTTGTGCCTCATGGGCTCTAGAGTGCAGGCTCAGTAGTTGTGATGTATGGGCTTAGTTGCTCCACGGTTTGTGGGGTGTTCCTGGGCCAGGGCTCGAACCCATTTCCCCTGCATTGGCAGGCGGATTCTTAGCCATTGCGCCACCAGGGAAGCCCCCAAACTGAATCTCTTAATATTTGAATTCTGGTGGACGTCTGAGATTTGGCAAAGATGTGGAGCAATGAGAACTCATAGATTGCTGATGAGAGTATAGGCTGGTGTAAACACTTTGGAAAAAGTTTGAAGTTGTCTTCCAAACTTGAATCTGCTTTTACTCAACAGCCCAGCAGTTACCCAGCAGTCCAGCAGTTCCACTTCTGAAGTATCCTTGACAAACTCTTAGACCTGTATACTAGGAGGTTATTTGCAGAAATGCTCATAATGAGCACTATTCAAAACGAAGAAGTGGAAATAATTCAAATGCCCTTCAACAAGAGGGTGAATAAATTGTGGAACACTTTATAGCAGTGGAAATGAGTAAGCTACAGATTTTTTTTTTATCAACAAGGATAAATCTTAGAAATATTATGTTAAGTTAAAAGCAAGTTGCAAAAGGATGCACATAGCATCGTACTATTTTTTTTTTTTTTGGTACGCGGGTCTCTCACTGTCATGGCCTCTCCCGTTGCAGAGCACAGGCTCTGGACGCGCAGGCTCAGCGGCCATGGCTCACGAGCCCAGCCGCTCCGCGGCATGTGGGGTCTTCCTGGACCGGGGCATGAACCTGCGTCCCCTGCACCAGCAGGCGGACTCCCAACCACTGCGCCACCAGGGAAGCCCCGTACTATTATTTTTATACAAATGGAAGGAAAACAATACTAAATTATGTAGTGTTTAGGAGTATGTAGGTATGTGGTTAAACTATCGATAAACGCAAGGGAATAATGAACACAAAATTCAGGGCTCACACATGGGGAACGGAGTGGGCAGGGACTCTTGGAGCCAGAGAGCATCAGCGATGTGACTACCGATTTATTTCCAAAGTTGAGGGATGGGTTCCTGGGTGTATATTTCATTATTAGGCTTCAAAGCGTATATATTCTTTTGTTTGTGTTAGATATTTCATGATACTAAAAATAGAAGGAAAAAAACCCCAAGCTGGAGGATCAGAATGGAGATTGGTCCCTGTGATGGGTTTAAGAGAAATTCTGAAAGTGCTGCCCCAATTCTGGACATAAAGCTCATTCACTGGGATGTTGGGATGAGCACAGCAGTCAGATGTTAGAAGGAACAGAATTTCAGAGCAGGGAGAGGATGGTCAGTCCTGGGTCTGTCACCTTTGCCTCCGTTTCCTCTTCTCTGAAACGGGAGTTGTGATACTTGCCTCACAGGGCTGTGTTGAGGGTTAAAGGAGAGTGGAGATAAAGCACTGTGTGCAGGGTAGAGGCATAGAGTTGGTGGGGTGGGATGAGCCGCGCTCCAGGTGGAGCCGGGGAGCCGAGCGGGAACCACGGCCAGTACAGTGGTAGCGGTTGGACTGACCATTGCTGCTGCGGGATTTGCAGGGGTTATGCTTTGCAAGCCATGAAGCATATGGAGCCTCAAGTAAAACAAGTTGTTCAAAGTCTACCGAAATCTGCCTTTAATGGTGGCTATTACAGAGGTGGGTTTGAAGCCAAAATGACAAAATGGGAAGCATCATTAATACTAGGTGTAAGCCCTACTGCCAATAAGGGAAACATAAGAGATGCTCATTGATGAATTATGCTTTTAAATCACCCAGACAAGGGAGGATCTCCTTATATAGCTGCCAAAATCAATGAAGCTAAAGATTTGCTAGAGGCCAAGCTAAAAAGTGAAGTAAATGTATGATGAATGTTAAGTTCTTACTCATTGATGTATATGAGTACCAGCTTTTTACAATAAAACGCCTCAAAGCTACACATTTTAAAAACTAGCATAAGCTAAATCAAAGCCTTGGTATAAATTGGAGGATTTAAAGTCGGATTATAGAATATTTGTAGGTTAATACTCAATAATTATGGATAAATGCATGCCATTTGAAGTGTTGTTCATCACTCATTTGTCAAATAATTTGGTACCTATTTCAAGACAAAGTGAACAAGGTAGTCTCTCCCTGAAGGAATCCCCAATCTGATGGGAGACTGATAAAGTGATAATTAAAATACAGTGTGATAAATATGATGGAATTAGCACAGGTTGTTATAGTAGGGGCTCATCTCATCGGGACAGAAGGCTGTTCAAGGTACAGAGGACTACCCCAGTCACTTAGAACCTTGAACTTAAAGGTGAATTTAGCCATAACTTAACCTAAGAAACTGATCTAGGTATGTACTTACCACTTTGTCAGTGATAAATCTAAATTGTTTCAGATTTCATACATTAAAAACGATAACAGCATGATTAAAAAAAAAAAAGCACTGTGCGCAGTAACTGTTGCGTGTGCTCAGCGGGGTGCACACTTCTGAGGATGCTGTAGGGAGTGCAAGACAGAGACCGGCTCCTCTGTGGCCTCAGGGTTGACCAGGCGGTTCAGTTAACCAAAAAATACACTGTAGAAAAGGGTTCGAAAAAGAATCAATCTTGTTTTGGCTTAGTCCAGAAATTCCTGTTAGAGTTAACATCGGGGGTTGACAGCTAGCACTTTAAATCAATCCATTCTGTTTCTTTCTTTCCTCCTTTTTTCTTGTAATTTCAGCACTGGGAAATTTGGTGCTTGTTTTATACCAGGACTTTGTAAGCAAAGTGATCTAACCTTGTACGCATCACGGCCTGGGCTCCGGCTGTGGAAGGCTGACATCCATGGGACCGTTCAGGCCACATTTATCTTAAAAGATGTCTTTGCTGGAGGAGTCAAGCCTTTCGAGCTTTACCCGCGCCTGGAATCCTCTGACAGGGGAAGTTGCAGCTCACCCGAGAAACACCTGGGGCTTGTTTCATGTTTCTTTCAAGAAGGCTGGGTGTTGAGTTGGAATGAATATAGTATTTACCTTCTAGACACCATCAACCAGGTAAGTAAAGTAATTGTACCACATCTTTGGTGTCTAGAGGCAAGAGACTGTTTATGGACTATTCTGCTTCATTTCTCAGATGATAGAAGGAACAGTGTTGATTCGGATGCTTTGCTTTTTCCATTGGGCCAGTCAAGGAATCCAAATGAAGGTTCATAGTCCTGTCCCCTGCTAAGAAAGTGTGTGTGTGTTTTATTTAAGCACAAAATTAAACTTGTTCTTTATAATTTCTTTGGATCACGTGTTTTCTGACTACCAAATTACTGTGAGCGTATTAAATGAAAACTCAAACATGACGGAAACAGTAAGATAGGGAGGGACTCATTCCCCAAGGCCTCCGCAGCGCAACGCTGAGTTGGGCAAGGGGCTCTTTCTCTAGCTTTCTTTCCACCCTGTTCTTTTACCCTTATTTCTCCTACCCAAATGGAGCCACGCTGTTTTGCCATTTTTTACCCCACTTTACTTAATGATGTATTTGGACAACTTTCCAGCGTTACTTTTTTTTCCAGCATTATTAAATCATGGTAGGAAACAATTTCTGTTTAAATCAGGATGGTAAGAGGTTATTGCCGACAGAGGTGGAATTAGGAATTAAAAAAAAAAAACTGTGTAGTTTCAGTTTATTTTTAAGAGCAGAGCTTTTGTTGTTTTGTACGTCATCTCCTCACCCCACCTCCCACCCCCATCCTGCTCACGTTCTTCCTTCTTGAAGTCAGCAGGCCTCTAACAGACGCCCTTTTCTTTATAAGCAGTGCTTCACTGTCGAAATCCAAGGGTTTTCTTACTTGTGTGAACAGAAAATGAAATTCGTCTGCAAGGCTTCTTAATGATTGTTATCAGCCATGCCTGGTACTACTGGTTTAGTAGAAAGAAAAACTGACCTTTTTCTTCTTCCTGGGAGATTCTGGTCTGGTTCTACCTATAACCAGGAGTCTCTCGTCTGCCTGGCTTGGTTTCCCTACCTGGAACATGGGGAGGGGACTGGTGAGTTGGGTTAGGGAATCACCAAGATGCCTTTTAGCCCTGAGTTTGTTTCTTTTCTTAAGGAACATTTTGAAAGACATTTTTGTATTCTTCCTCAGGTGTAGAGAACACAGCTTTTCTGCTTTTTCTGGGTACTATTTGAACTTAATGTGCACTTGTTAATTGGCGGGGTCAAGATGCGGTGTAATTGTACATCAGTTCCTCTCTTCTGAGCACTTACCCAGGGCTTTCCCCAGTAGGTATAATTAACTTCATCTTATAGATGGAGAAGTGGAGACAGAGGACCTGGTCATGAGCAGACAGTCTGAACATGGCAACATGATTAAAAGCTTTCAAACTACTGTCAGGATTATTAAGAATTTACAAAGGACTGAGACTCATTTTTTCTTCTATAATGAGCTAGTCTCTTATTTGCACTGTTGACTGAGAAGCAAGAATTTTTTTTTTAAGTCAGGGATGTCCTGTGTTTTGTTTGCTGTCTGCTTTCAGGTGACGTTAGGGGAATCCTCCCTCCCTCATTTATTCATTCAAAACCAAGGGTTGCAATGCCTACTAGTCTCTCCCACAGGACTCTGCACAGTAGGGGACCTAGACCTGCCAGCACACATTCCAGCCCAGGAGAGACGTGCCAGGTGGGGGTTTGTGTGAAGTGCTGTGAGCTCTGAAAAGTCCTGGGCATTGCTGAGGAGGGTGAGTTTGTCAGGGATGCTTCCCAAGGAGGCGGCCTCTGAATCAAGTTGGAACTCTCCCAGTGAGCAAGGGTCAGGAAAAGAATTCAAGCAGAGTGCGTGACGTCGTGGAGGAACAGGGCTGGGGTTTGGACTGGCCAGTTGATGCACATGAAGCCAGAAGAGGGTGATCAGAGAGCCGGGAGCAAGGCGGGGACCGGTCAGAGGGTGGCCGAGAGGCGGGGAGAGACTGCTCGCTCAGTCTCATAAATTTACTGGCAGGGGGTATGACTCAGTCACACATCCGTCAGATATTACCTAACTTTGGATTGAATTTCCCTAAGTTTCAGAAGTCATGATAATGAAGAGCAGTTGTTTGACTTATTTGGATTCCTACACATGCTTGTACGATTTGAACTATTACTATTGCCTGGTTTTGTGATTTTTTTTTTTTTTTGGACAGGCCACAATTGCTGGTTTGGAAGGATCAGGTGATATCGTGTCTGTTTCCTGCACAGAAAATGAAATATTTTTCTTAAAGGGAGACAGGAACATTATAAGAATTTCAAGCAGGCCTGAAGGACTAGCATCAATAGGTTTGTATTTCTTGTGAAATGTTATAAAATGTATTTGTTACAAAATTTGTTATAAAATGTATGTAATTACAGTTTGTGATGTATAAAGCATACCATTTTTTTGCTCGTTAAATGTAGCTTTTTCGAAATGAGGTGTTCAGAGGGTTTCCTTTGATTCTGAAAAGATGGTTTGTGATACTTTTCTTGAAGGTTACCTGCTTTCAGGCTTACATCAGCCAGGGTCTCACATTTGGTGGAGTTGCTTCTGCGGGTCTGGAGGTCAGGGAGGTTGGGTGAGTAGGAAGGAGAACTTGGCACCCACCTGACTGATCTCCGTCCGACACTCTGAGACAGCCTGTGGGATTGATGCATAAGATTTTAGAACATTTCAGTCTGTCACCTGGGACATGTTTTTTTTACCTTTAACATAGTTCTTCCTTGTAGTATTGATTATTCTCTGTGCTTTTGACTTTTTTTTGGTAATTCATATTTAAGCCCAAATTCTAATGAGCAAAGAACCTTACTCTGTGTTGTCGTGCATGCACACGACCGTGGTACTTTATATATTTGTGCCTGGTGGTCACAACAACAGCTGTGTGGCCCCTGCCCCACTGCCCTTCCCTGCCTTGTCATCACTGAGTTGTGCTCACCATCTTCCAGACTCTGCTAAGCACTTAACATTCACGATCTCGTCCAGTCCTCCGAACAGCCCCATGTGGGAGGGCCCGATGCCCGAGGTGAGGGCAGTGCCCACAGATGCCAGCGCGTCATGGGGCCTCTGAAGTTCACCGGGCAGTTGCACAGGCGTCCTGCCCCCGCCTTTCCCTAACCAGGCCGCCTTCCTCCCTGGGGCTGGAGCGGCCTTGGCCCTTCCTCACTCGCTGTGCCCCTCTCCTGACACTGCTGCCTGGGTCTCCCGGACGAGGCCTGCCCTCCTCGTGTGCTGCCCTCTTCACCCCTCCCCCTCATCATTCAAGACTCGGTCGGTATCGCCGCGCTTTTGATAACTTCTTCCAGTCACCTTAGTTGAGTCAGTCTCTCCTCACTGCGTTCCTGGGGCCCTTTTCCTGCTGCTCCTTGACTTCAGAGTCATTGACTTACCACTTACCTTACGAAAGAATAGATTTTTGATTGCAAGGCTCTCATGACTCACCTTGTGGCCCTAACACAGCACACGGTTTGAAGAAGACCCTAGCATGTTAGTCAGTGGTGTCCTCCTTTCACAGATTAGAAAATTGAGGATTGGGGTAGTACGTGACAAGCCCCAAGTCACCGTCCAGATTTCCGCTTCAGCCACTGTTTCCCCGACCTTGCCAGGTTAGTCCCCGCCCTGTGCCGTGGCTGTGGGCACGCCACTGCTTCCCTCGGGCCTCTTGGCCACAGGGCCATCCTCGGTGTTTCTACTCTGACCAGCGTCAGCTAATGTCTGAGTGACCTCAAGAGAGGCAGCGGAGATCCTGGGCAGGAAGTGGGGCTCCCTCCCTCCAACACGGGAGGGAGCGGCCTGCCTGGGACACGGCTATAGCGTTTGTCTTTTAAATGTTAGAATACGAGGTTTGGCTGCTGGGAGAATATAAAAAACAGCCTCACTTTAGCCAGATATTTAGCCTCAAAAGGACAAAAGTGAAGTACTAGCTGTCGCTGCCCTGGATTTATAACCTCCCAGGAGACGGCGGGGGGAGAGGGTGAATTACCTGTGAAGTCACAGAGGGCAGGTTGCGAACATCATTTCAGGGTCATTTCAGGGTCGTAACTTTCGTAGAAGGGGAGTGAGCTCTACTCTTGAGCCTGTGAGCTGGGGCCCTTAACAGTGTCACCAAGTGGCAGTGCCACTTACAGGGGAGAAGTGACCAGGAGCCACAAGGCCAGTAGACTTCCTGCAGGCATGAAGATGCTCTGTAACTGCACTGCCCACACGTGGCTGCCGAGTACTCGAAATGTGCTGAGTGCAACTGAGGAACTGGATTTTAAGTTTTGTTTCATGTCTATGAATCTGAATTTAAATAGCTACATGGCTGGTGGCTACTGTACTGGACGGTGCAGCTCCAGACCAAGATCTGCCTGTGTAATCTTGTGTGACCTCCTGCGAGTCACTTCCCTGCCCTGCTCATCCCCACTTGTGGCCCCCGGTTGAGGCAGGAATGCCCACCCGTCTGGGTAAGGGCCGTGTCTCCATGCCTAGAACGCGTCTGGCATGCGGTAGGTACTTGGTAACAAAAGGATGGCTGGATGGATCAAAATGGGCCCCCAGTCCTGTGTTGAGGGTCCTGTGGCTGGAACCTCCTGCTGTCGTGTTGAGAGGAGGATGTGTCCATGGAGGTGGGGACAGAGCGCCAGGCCCACCAGCCCACTGCCGGTCCTGCTCTGCTCTCTCTCCTCTTCGCACGTGGACTCCTTTAACGAACTCCTCTGTTTTGAGTTTGCGCTGGTAAAAATTACCTTTCCCTCCTTGAACTTTGAGAATTTTTATTATAGGTACATGTGTGTTTTTCAAAGGCCCCTGGAGGAGTAGTTTTTTGGCTGCACCACGGGGGCCCCGGCGGTGAAAGCACCAAGTCCTAACCACCGCACCACCAGGGAATTCCCTCTAAGCCCTTTTTTCTTCTTTATTATTATTTTTTTTCTAAGCCCTTTTTTAATAGGCATCTCACCTTTATATATTATTTTGTGAGTTGAAGTGAGAAATGCTCTACCTTATGGTAGTCCCTTACTTTGAATTATTTACAAAAGACAGCTGCTGTGAGTTATTTTACTGATTTTGGTACATGCACTTCCTGGAGAACAAAAACCATGTGTTGGAACCTGTTGTACAATTCTTTTAGTTTTGCTGGTTTCTCTGAATTTAGCAGGCTGGTATTTAGGGCTGGCAAACCTTAATCAGAGCACTCCATCTTTCCCTCCAGTAACCATGGTAAAACTGACTCTTCTTTCTCAGTGCGGGACGGTCTGGAGACGTCAGGATGCCCAGAGCAAGTCCATGGGCAGCATGCAGAGAAGCCGCCGGGGGCCACGCCTTCCGAGACGAGGCTCAGAGGCTCTTCCGTGGCCAGCGAGCCCAGAAGCAGGAGCAGCTCGCTCAACTCCACCGACAGCAGCTCCGGGCCGCAGGCGGCTCCCGAGCTGGGCAGGAGCGGCCAGCTCACCTCGAAGAGGTTCAGTGTGATCAGCTCAGAGGACTTCGACCAAGAGCTCATTGTGAAGCCTCTCAAAGTGAAAAAGAAGAAGAGGAGGAAGAAGACAGGTACCGCCCGCGGCAGAGCACACACGACCTCCTTCCGCCCCCCCCCCCCCCCCCCCACCCCACCACTCTAGGTGGTCACAAAGCACCGAGCTGATCTCCCTCTGTTATGTGGCTCCCCCCCCCCCCCCCCCCGTGGCGCCTTCTTCCAAACTCTCTGGGAAGGCTGCTGCTTGCTGAGTGAGCACTGCCCGTTCACCGGAAAGCACAGAAAGCGAATGTCTTTCCTCCTCGAAGGAGTTTTACTGTGAAATATGTATACTTTATACACACACATAAAGCATTAAACTATAATGTAACATACCACCCTGCTTAACAGGTCTGGGTGTTATACTTTTCAATATTTAAGTAAAAATTGCAGTTTATTCATGTACATCATTTATTAGACCAGAGATTCTATAAACCTGTAAGGAAGGTCATGGAAATCTTTAGATGGATCAATTTATGTTTAATGTAGGGTATGTCATCAGATATGGGCTTTTTTTTTTTTCTTTTCTTTTCTTTTTTGTAGGCTGCACTGCATGGCTTGCAGGATCGTAGTTCCCCAACCAGGGATTGAACCTGGGCCCTTGGCAGTGGAAGCGTGGAGTCCTAACCACTGGACCGCCAGGGAATTCCCAGATATGGGATTTAACACTGAGTTTTAAAAAATTTTTTACTTCTTGGTGCTTGTTGAGCCTCTCTAGCTAAAGATCACTGCGATATTGAAGGAAAATGTTATCAGATCCCTTAGCATTTTAATAATTAAAAGAAATTGGTCTGTGATCCATTTGTTCCTTTGTTTTTCTTAGTTAACATTTCTTGAAGGAGGCCTCAGAGCCCATCAGTGTGTACAATATTTGGATCCATTTAAAACATCCCTGCATTGGGATAATTTGTACTTAGGAGATTTATTCTTCACCATTTAGATATCCTTCATTTAAAATGCTTTTATCTTAAGCCAAAATTTTTTTAGCTGGTGTCTGACTAGATTCATACCTAATCTTAAACGTTCTTCTTTTAAACAGAAGGTGGAAGCGGGACTACCTGCCCCAGTTCCCTTGAATCGACTCCCTGCTGGGAGTGTCCTGGTGATAGCCCCCAGTCCTTGAACACAGACCTGCTGTCCACGACCTCGAGTTTGGGCAGCATCGTGGATCAGTCCAGCACAGGGTCTCCTGACCAGGACTGCGGTCTCAGTGGTGCGGCCAACAGTGTCCTGCCAGAATGTAGCGACCCCGAAACGTTTAGTGTCTTGGAGGTGCCCTTCCCCGCCCCTGACTCACTGACTGAAGAAGGTGACGGAAGAACCGAAATCCCACTACGTGCCGGCGCAGGCGAGACGCAGCTGCCTGGCAGGGTGGTGAGTTCACCCTGGCATCCGAGGGAGGACGCGGAAGGGAGTGATGACATCGCGGAGCTCGAAGAGGAGCCCTGTCCCATGAGCGGTGGGCCAAGGAGCACACAGTCACCCTGCCGAGGGCGGGGCAGCTCAGCGGAGGCCCGGGAGGTGGGGGGCATGGAGCCTGCTGAGCCCCAGAGCACTTTTCCGGAGGCCCCCCTCCAGGGCTCCCCCCCGGTGCCTTCCAGCCTCAGCTGGACTCCCAGTGCTGAGCGGTGGCTTCCAGGGACCAGAGCTGAGGAGCCCAGTGAAGAGCAGGGCTTCCGGAGGCACCTGGGGGCCCCAGGCCACCTCGGCTCGAGTACCCGGCACGCTGCTGCTGACGATGACACAGGCCAGAAAGCAATGGCTGCTTCCGAATGTGACTTGGGGAGTGCAGGAGGACGACGGCCTCGCTGGGTCTCTGCCTCGGTGGCCAGCGCCCGCGAGCAGCCCTCACGGGACCATGCGTTGACGTCCAGTGACGAGGAGGACATCTATGCCCACGGGCTGCCCTCTTCATCCTCGGAGACAAGCGTGACCGAGCTGGCAGGGAGCCGCTCCCTGCAGGACCTGCACCCGCCGGGCACAGACGAGCCCGGGCTGCTGAAGTCAGAGGAGGTATGTGCGCTCCTTTCTTAAGGGAAATCATTGCGAACTGATTATATGTTTCTGTTTATGCAAAGAAATTATATTCCTACTGTAAAACCCGTATGCCAGAGGTGTTTGGAAGTCTGCCTTTGGGGGATTTCCAGCGCAGGGATCTAGAATGGCCTGGACTCCTGCTGACCTGTCACCCCTGCTCAGTTACCCACTTTACCAACAAAAGCAGCCTCTCCTCCTTGATTCCGGCGGGGCCAGCCCAGCACGGGCAGCTAGTGCTAGTCATCCCAGAGGACAGCTGGATTGGCCTGGGGGCCGCTCCCAGAAACCAGTGGCGAGAGGCCCGTCCACTTGTGGAGGGGAAGGCGCTGCCCCTCAGACATGCGTCTCGAGGAGCCGTGTCTCCCTGACCTCCAGACAGCGGTGCCAGGGCTCCCCTGCAGGCCTGTACAGAAACCAGGTTTCAAGTGTCTAGTTTCCTGGGTCAGGTTCTACCTAGCCTGTGCAATTAAAAGACGATTATTAGCTATTCTTGGTCATTTTATATAAAAAAGTGGCTTTTAAAAAGTGCTTGTTTTCCTTAGCAAGTAATTATTATTTAGATATATTTGGTTTCAAAATTAACTGTGTATTGTAACCCTTTCTGCTAAGTGGATGTGAGGTGTGGGTTATGCGTGTGAACTTACAGCCACGTGTGCTTTTCCCAGATGTGCCTCTGGATTCTCTCCGTCGTAATGATGTGTGACATTGGGGCAGCTCTCACCATGTGCCAGGTGCCATGCTAAGCACTTTACAGGTTTACCTCATATACTTATCTAAAAACAAAACCCACAAACTAGGTGCTCCCGTTTCACAGGAGGAAGTGGAGACTCAGACAGTTAAATGGCTTTCACCAGGTCATATGGCAAGTGGGGCCAGGGCCCTCTCTCTCAAACCTCTGTGCTGTCTGCCCTACCTCGAAAGTGAAATGTCCTGCTTATTTGTTTTAAGACAGAATGCCCTTTCACTCAGTCTTCCGCGCATTCACCCTTTCGTGAGTGCCTTCGGCTGCCAGACTCTGCGTCGGGCGCTGGGGACACTGCAGTGCCCGTGACAGGCAGTCGTGGATCTCAAGAGTCCTGGACACGTGTGCAGATCCTCCCAGTTGAGTGGAACTCGGGCGATGGTGATGAGCAAAGTGCAGGAGGGGCGCGGCGCCCACCAGCCATGGCAAGAGCCAAGCAGCTGAGCCGAGGGCGTGGGCAGTTGGCATTCTAGACCAGAACTTTAGAAAAGTCCTAGGTGAGAGGGCACCTGGTACTTTGAGGACCTCCCCCAGCCTTCACCGTTCCCCCCCTCGTCCCCCTCCAGAGAGCTGGAAAGCCACATTTTGTTGCGTTGGGGGGTGGGTAAGGCGTGTCCTGGTGAGCCAGGGCCAGATCGAGAGGGGTTGGGTGCCATACTCTGTGAAGCAGTGAACGTCCATGTGTGGGTGATTGTGCAAATACGTGGGTTTCTTTTGCAGTTTTGGAAAGCTGTTAAAGTACACACTTTATTTAGCTTTGATTTTTAAAAGAACCATAACATCTAAACCTTAGTCTACAAGATTCAGTCAGGCAGTGTCTTGGCCAGATTTCCATCAACCACATGATGTGCCATGTGTCCAATGATTGGATCAGCGCTTAAAACAGTATGGTGAAAAAACAAAGATAGTGGTAGTGCCATTTCTCCTAACACATCTGTAATGATTAGCTGTACAAAAAATCAATTTGCATACAAGTGGGAAGTGAGGTATCCCTGTAGAATAAAACCAGATCCTTTGAATGTAAGCACTAGGTGAGGGAAGAGGTTGTAGTATCTGTGACAGACTGTTTTCCAGGAACGTTATGGGGTCAGCTGCAGTGGGACAGCTGCTCCCACTTCACAATGTTTCTGTTAGAGCTGGTCGAGAGATAGAGGGCCGACTTAAGTGATTGCACACTTTTCTTATTGACGACAGTACGACACATGCAGCTGTGTCCTCTGCCGCAGAACTCAGCAGGCTCTGTCCTTGTTAGTTTGCAGAAAGCTGGATGGGTTACTCCGGGCCGGGCTACAGCATTCTCAGCTTGGCGGTCTCCGAGAAGTACATTTGGTGCCTGGACTACAAAGGCGGCCTGTTCTGCAGCGCGTTGCCGGGCGCTGGGCTGCGCTGGCAGAAGTTTGAAGATGCCGTCCAGCAGGTGGCAGTCTCGCCCTCAGGTTCGCCTCCCAGCTCCCTGCTTCTTGCCCCAGGTGTAGAGGCCCGAGCACACAGGGACCAGTCCATTTAGCAGACTTGCCTTTTCCCCGCAGGTTTGAGGGGTTTTCTCCAAAGAACGCAGATTGCTGCATTTGACATCAACTGAAAATAGTGTAACTGCAGTTCAGTTTTTGGTTATTAATTGCAGTGGTAACACATGAACATGTTTTGTAAGTTATACAAATAGCTTGCATTTTTGAGTTTTTTTTTTTAAAAAAATTAACATACAAATGCCTTATAAAAATAAATCTGTTTCTATTTCTTAGTGTTGTTGTTTTAAAACTTACTTATTTATTTATTTTTGGCTACGTTGGGTCTTCTTTGCAGTGCGCGGGCTTCTTGCAATGGCTTCTCTTGTTGGGGAGCACGGGCTCTAGGTGCGCGGGCCTCAGTAGTTGTGGCATGTGGGCTCAGTAGTTGTGGCTCGTGCGCTCTAGAGCACAGGCTTAGTAGTTGTGGCGCACAGGCTTAGTTGCTCCGCGGCATGTGGGATCTTCCAGGGCTAGGGCTCGAACCCGTGTCCCCTGCACTGGCAGGCGGATTCTGAACCACTGCGCCACCAGGGAAGTCCCTTAGTGTTGCTTTAAAGCAACTGAACTAATGAAGATGGGCCCGTGGTTGTGTTGGATAAGTTTGGATCGTTTGGTTTCTTTCTTAGAAAGTATTCTGTATTGAGCTATATATATGCTTTGAGTGAATAATCTACTCCTTGACTGTGAAAAGAAAATGCCTTCCTTCCTTCATGCCATGATCAGGCCATTTTCAGTGAGCTAGAGCAGACGCTTCCTGGATGAGGTTCTACCCCCTCATCTATACAGAATAATTTGCTTGTTTGTCACAGTGTTGGCCGCTTTACCTATTTGGGGGATGGCGAGTGGAACAGAAGTGTGTATGTGTATCGTAGCTGGTTTACTGTTAGGACGTTGGAATGCAAGGCAGACAACACTGAGCCTGTGACCTCCCCTCGTCCTCTGTGCTTTGAGATGAATTTCCTCTAACTCTCCTGCTCTTTGTCACTACGTAAAATACCAGTTTGTTCGGGGTTGTTTTGTTCTCTCTCTTTATCTCTTTGAAAAATATTTTTCCTTAGAGACTAAGATAATAGCCTGTCCCATTAGCTGGCTTTATATAATTATGGGTTTTAATTCTTTTCCTCTCATTTACCTTTGGGTCCATCTCCCCAGCCATTTATAAACTTTGGTTTTTTCCTGATTATATGAATTCTGTGTGTTTCCAAACCATTCAGTCTCACGCTACTCTAGCAGGAGCTCTGTCTCCACCAGGGTTGATGCTGTGGCTGAGCGGTCCTGCAGGGCCCTGTCCAGCGTGGGCACCCCGGGGGCCGCGGGCTTGACCGCCGCCTCGCTTCCCACACCTCCCTCGGCACCTCGTGCCAGACCCTCTAGTCCAGCCCTCTGTGCTCTTGTTGACTCTGATGGTTTCTTAGACGCCACCTGCATCTCCATAGACCACCTTCCTGTCTGCCCTTCTCCTTCCCTCCCCTTCTTCTATGTATCACAGTCCCTTTCTGAGTGAAAAAAGGGACAGCCCAGTTCAAGTGCTTCCTTTCCATCTGCACCTTATCCATTTGGCTGGTCCAGAATTGACCCACTCCCTTTGAATCCCTGTAGGACTTTCAGACTTTCTCAGGACACTAACTGTGCCTCCCGAAGGTCGTTTAGGGCCCTCACCTGGCACACCTAGCAGTGCTGGTGGTGCCTCTCTGCCATGTGATGAGTGCCTCTGATGTGCCAGCTCTGTGTGCTGTGTCCTTGATATAGCCTCACCTGCAGCCTTCCTAGCAGCCTGTACGGGGCAGACGATCCCATTTCACAGATGAGGAAATGAGGCTTGGAGACATGACCCCCAAGCCACACGGTGGGGGGTGGTGGCAGGGGTTCAGACCTTGGCGCCACAGGCTCTTTTCCCATTCCGGGTAGAAGCAAAGGGGGTGCGTGTTGTAGAAATCTCTCTTCCCCACAGCACCCAGAATGGACTTTTGGGGGTGAAAATTCTCAGTATTTATTGGACAGTGAATATAATTTTTATTTCCACAGGAGCCCTTCTCTGGAAGATTGAACAGAAATCTAACCGAGCCTTTGCTTGTGGAAAAGTGACCATCAAGGGGAAGCGTCACTGGTACGAAGCTCTGCCCCAGGCGGTGTTTGTGGCCCTGAGCGATGACACGGCCTGGATCATCAGGACAAATGGGGACCTGTACCTACAGACAGGTAGCTGCAGCCGGCACCCCAGCACCCGTGGGATCTGGTGTGATTGCGCTTTGGTAGCGATGTGCTTAGAGACAGTGACCAAGAAGTTAGAAGTCAATTTAAATGAAAACACTTCTGGAAGGAGAGTATTTGCTGTTGGAATCTATTAGCAGTTTTCTGCTACTGACTCACATTCAACCCAGGACAAATTTAGGGCAGGAATTAATAGAATTATTTAGCGAGGCACAGAAACAGAATCTTACTCTCCTTACGGCTCACCGTTGCGTATCCCTTATCCTGCAATATCAGATCTGAAGAGGAAAGAATAACAGAGAAATGGCATTAGAATCATTTTTCCCTTTAACTTATGGCTGGATTTTTTCAGCCAGGTCAAAGCCCTGCTTCTATACGCTTATTTACACATGGGTCAGGAAAAAACAATGAGAAATAATTTGCTCTAAATAGCAGTTTATCTCATCCTGGGAAACTGCCCTGAGAGTGGGGACCTTTAGCAGCTGGAAGAGACACAGTGGGACTTGTTTTTTAAAAATAAACTGTAATGAGAGTCAGTGTTTACGTTTTGTCAGCAAAATGAGATATGGGTTTCCAAAAGCAATGTGATTCACCAGTACCTGGAAACGATTATGGGGCAGGAGCTCTTTTTTGGATGTCAAGAGGCCATAATAGATTTATGTAAATATCAGTCTTTTAACCATTTAATATTGCTGATTCCAAGAAAAGGTTTATTTTTTTAATAGATTTATTTAATTAATTAATTTATTTATTGGCTGCATTGGGTCTTCATTGCTGTGCACAGGTTTTCTCTAGTTGTGGCGAGTAGGGTCTACTCTTGGTTGGGATGTGAGGGCTTCTCATTGTTGCAGAGTACAGGCTCTAGGCGTGCAGGCTTCAGTAGTTGTGGCTCATGGGCTCTAGAGCGCAGGCTCAGTAGTTGCGGCACACGGGCTTAGTTGCTCCGTGGCATGTGGGATCTTCCCGGACCAGGGCTCGAACCCGTGTCCCCTGTGTTGGCAGGTGGATTCTTAACCACTGCACCACCAGGGAACCCCCCCAAGAGAAGGTTTTAATCTCTGTTATGAACTGTCAGCCAGGGACGATTCTCTGAGATTTTTTTTTTAACATCTTTTATTAGAGTATAATTGCTTTACAATGGTGTGTTAATTTCTGCTTTATAACAAAGTGACTCAGCTACACATATACATACGTCCCCATATCTCCTCCCTCTTGTGTCTCCCTCCCACCCTCCCTATCCCACCCCTATAGGTGGTCACCAAGCACTGAGCTGATCTCCCTGTGCTATGCGGCTGCTTCCCACTAGCTATCTGTTTTACATTTGGTAGCGTATATATATCCATGCCACTCTCTCACTTCGTCCCAGCTTACGCTTCCCCCTCCCCACATCCTCAGGTCCATTCTCTATGTCTGCGTCTTTATTCCTGTCTTGCCCCTAGGTTCTTCAGAACCTTTTGTTTTTTTTTTAGATTACGTATGTATGTGTTAGCATATGGTATTTGTTTTTCTCCTTCTGACTTCACTCTGTATGACAGATTCTAGGTCCATCCACCTTACTACAAATAACTCAGTTTTGTTTTCTTATGGCTGAGTAATATTCCATTGTATATATGTGCCACATCTTCTTTATCCATTCATCTGTTGATGGACACTTAGGTTGCTTCCGTGTCCTGGCTATTGTAAATAGAGCTGCAGTGAACATTGTGGTACATGACTCTTTTTGAATTATGGTTTTCTCAGTGTATATGCCCAGTAGTGGGATTGCTGGGTCATATGGTGTTCTTTCAGATGTACAGATAGTTCTATTTTTAGTTTTTTAAGGAACCTCTATACTGTTCTCCATAGTGGCTGTATCAATTTACATTCCCACCAACAGTGCAGGAGGGTTCCTTTTTCTCTACACCCTCTCCAGCATTTATTGTTTGTAGATTTTTTGATGATGGCCATTCTGACTGGTATGAGGTGATACCTCATTGTAGTTTTGATTTGCATTTCTCTAATGATTAGTTATGTTGAGCATCCTTTCATGTGTTTGTTGGCAGTCTGTATATCTTACTTGGAGAAATGTCTGTTTAGGTCTTCTGCCCATTTTTGGATTGGGTTGTTTGTTTTTTTGGTATTGAGCTTCATGGGCTGCTTGTAGATTTTGGAGATTAATCCTTTGTCAGTTGCTTTGTTTGCAAATATTCGATTCTCTGAGATTGAAAGCCCTTGAACATCTGGGTTGCTCTCAGATGTGGGAGAGCCGGCATCCTAGCAGCTCCTGCTTGAGCCCAGAGGGCAGCCTGGCCAGCTCTGGGCCACATGCCGGCCCTGGTCTCTCCAGCCTGGTTCCTGTGTCTCCCTTGAAAGTGAAAAATAGCTGGAAAAGCATACGCATATCCAACTTCCAGTGGCATCTGAGTTTCGTTCCTGCTGGGGAAACGGGGTGCTTCTGGCCTGGGGGTGAGGAGGGCCTTAGGAGTCACCTGGGCAGTAGTTGCAGACAAGCTCAAACCACCCAGAGCTACTGGGTTAGAGTCTCCAGGGTTGTCCTGAAGGTTTGCAGTGTAAGAAGTCCAGGAGGTGATTCCTGCCTAGCTGAGTTTGAGGAAATGCAGCCCAAGGGCTGTGATACCGTAGGGTGCTGTTGTGATCCGGCAGGGAGCATGCTGAGTTCCGAGCCCTGATTGCAGGCTGAGGCTGCGGAATAATACGGGGCTTTAGGTAACAGCTGTTGTGCCAGATCCCTTACGAGTGGCCTTGAAGCTCATTAGACAGAGGTTGCAAACAGGCAGGGGAAGAGCCCTGGATGGGGAGTCAGGGACCCTGAGCTCTGGCCCTCACCTTCCATCTAGGAAATTCGGGGTTTTCATTTTGGTAGTGGAAACACCGCGTACCACATACAAAGCAGGCGGAGGGGAACCACCCTGTTGGAGGTGCTCTGCAGAGGATGCCTGGAGCCCTCAGATCCCTGTGGGTCCAGTGGCAGCTGAGGCTCCGAGGGGCATGGCCACAGAAGACGTCCCTTGGTACTGGCTCCTCTCGGCCTGGGCCCTCCTGGCTCCGGAGCTGGCTGCTCTCCTGCACTGGGCTTTCACATTCTTTTGGAACATTTTTAGCTACTTTGGGACACCAGAGGATTCGGAATTGTTATTCCTCCAGTTTTCAAAGAGCATCTGAAAACAGTTCAGATGGATATTACATTTAAGCACAATCTAACTATTTTATGTTGACTAGACCTTGAGAAGAGAAAGTACTTATTATGAAAGGATATAGCAAAATACCAAAAAAGAAAAATAAGCAAACAGAACGAAAATGAGGTGTGAAGTCCTGATTGTGTGTCTTGGGGCTTCCTGCCCTTCTCCCCGGCAGGTCTCAGCGTGGATCGCCCCTGTGCCAGGGCCGCAAAGGTTGACTGTCCATACCCACTGTCCCAGGTCGCAGCCCGAAACAGCGTGGTGTGGGCACTGACGGAGCAGAGGGTCCTCCTGTACCGGGAGGGTGTAAGCAGCTTCTGTCCCGAAGGGGAGCGCTGGAAATGTGACATCGTCAGGTATCGGGGGAGGAGCAGACACATTTTCAGCGTCCTGTTTGTCCCACTGTCTGTTCTTTGTCGACTTGACTCTTCTTAAGGGACCCATGTGAGCCTCTCCTGGGCAGAGCTGGTTCCCTGAAAGTTTCCAAGGTCGTGGTGTTCTCTGGGATTGCCAGAGCCAATTTCAGCAGCCTGACCTTGAAGACACTCTGTGCCTCCTTCTGACTGGCAGACTGGACATTGGGTCAGAGCTCAGTTTTAAAAACGTTACTGCCCTCATGTGTAATCTCAAGCCCCACACTGTCACGAGTCTCTTGTGATGGTCTTTCTAGAGAACTGCCCAGTGTCAGATAGTTTCTGTTTAGAGTCTCAGATGACTTAGGGCCAAATATTTTTCTTTATTATCCTCCCAGTCAGTTGAAATTAATCTCTCAATTGCAATTTATTTGGTTACTTTCTACCAGTCAAAATTTTAATTAAAGAGTTACTGTCAGATCATGTTGCTGGTGTGAAATTATCAGTAGTCTTTAGAAAAATTAGATTAGGATATTCTCGGTTTGAATTGAGCAACCCAGTAAACTTGAGTGAGCACCTGTTGTGAGCACTGAGTGAGCATGACTCTGCCCAGCCCTCGAAGAGCTCCCCATCTGGGGCAACCAACGCCAGTTAGTGTAGATGGTCCTGAGCTGGAGAGGGATGCGCAGCACCGAGGACGCCTCGGCTCCCCCTGCAGAGGTCAGGCAGGCACCGTGCAGAGTGGACCCGCAGCTCAGCCTCGAAGCTGGCTGGGGCGTCACCGGCTGGGTGAGAGGAGGGCATTGCCCGCAGAGTGGGCAGCGTCTGCCAGGCTGCAGCTGCCCAACACAGCCTGGCACGCTGCGGAGTTTCTGTTCGCTTAATTGGTGAAGGCAGGGGTGGGGAGATGGGCCACTCGGGGCCTGAGATCCCTCATGAGCCTGCTCTCTTCTTCCCTGGGTTAGTTTCCCTTAAGAGCTCCCCCTACCGTTCTGGGCCTTCAGGGATTCTTCAGACGCCCCCTCGCTTCGGAACAGTATATATCGCACAGTCGTTTAAGTCGAAACTTAAGCTTCCTTCCTCGGAACTCGTCTCTTGTCCCACACTGAGCCCTCCAGGACGCTTGATGCCGGCATCCTAGACACACTGGGGGCCATGAATGTGGGTGCTGACTCCATGCTCTCTTCCTCTTTTCCAGTGAAAGGCAGGCTTTGGAACCTGTCTGTATCACTCTCGGGGACCAACAGACCCTGTGGGCCCTGGACATCCGAGGACACCTGTGGTTCAGAACAGGCGTCGTTTCCAAGAAGCCCCAAGGGGATGACGACCACTGGTGGCAAGTAGGTGTTGAGCTCTCGGGCCACGTGCCTGGGCGCCTCCCTGAGTCGGGGGCTATGCTCTCCCTCTTACAACCCCTCTCTTTTCCCTAAAGAGATTGGGGGCTTGGAGTAAATAAACAGTGTTCACTTTTACTATTGGATGAGTTAGACTTTGCTGTATTTGGGCACACTAGAAATATCAGGGCACAGCAAGGCTCTACTGTATTCAATATCCTATGATGAACCATATGGAAAAGAATATTAAAAGGAAAAGGATGTCTACATATGTGTACCTGCATCCCTTTGCTGTACAGCAGTAACCAACACAGCATATTGCAAATCAACTGCACTTCAATTTAAAAAAAAAGAATTATCAGGGATTTCATCACAGGACGTAACTTGTGAAGCTCTCTTTGCTTAAATATGTAGGCTTTGTTTGTTTATTGATTTTTTAATTTTGGTGTTATTTAGAAATTTGTCATTATATGCCAAATAAATCCATTGATAGCCATTTGAAGACTTAGATAATAATAATGATTAATTCTGGAGGAATGTACTAAGAAGAAGAGAGATTAGACAATAGATGTGAAAAACCCAACCCACAATTACAGTTCACCGTCTCTGCTTGTACAAAAGGCCTCGTAAGTAAATGGTATTTCAACACAGGGGAATTTTCCCACGTGCCCCCAGAAAAGTAAACACTTTGGGAAATAGTAAGGTAGGGGCTTCCCTGGTGGCACAGTGGTTAAGAATCCACCTGCCAATACAGGGGACATGGGTTCGAGCCCTGGTCCAGGAAGATCCCACATGCTGCCGAACAACTAAGCCCATGCGCCACAACTACTGAGCCTGTACTCTAGAACCTGCGACCCACAACTACTGAAGCCCGCACGCCTAGAGCCCGTGTTCCACAACAAGAGAAGCCACTGCAGTGAGAAGCCCGTGCACCACAACCAAGAGTAGCCCTTTGCAGCCAGTTAAGCCGACTGTGCTCTTTTCCCCATGGGGGCCCGGTGCGCAATGGCTGCAAACAGCAGCCTCCTCGGTAGTGTATGCAGCCTGTTGCCTGTATGGGTTGCCCTAAGGGACCTTGGAGACAGCCCTTTCCAGTGGACATTAATGACTGCCATACTGTCCCCAATCTAGGCTCCAGACAGGTATGCATGGTGCCTTTGGAAAGCCCCAGGGCACAGTGGCCAGGGTCCACATTGGCCAGGTCATAATGTCCATCCGTACCAAGCTGCAGAACAAGGAGCATGTGATTGAGGCCCTCCGCAGGGCCAAGTTCAAGTACCCTGGCCGCCAGAAGATCCACATCTCCAAGAAGTGGGGATTTACTAAGTTTAATGCAGATGAATTTGAAAACATGGTGGCAGAAAAGTGGCTCATCCCATATGGCTGTGGGGTCAAGTACATCCCTAATTGTGGTCCCCTGGACAAGTGGCGGGCCCTGCACTCATGAGAGGCTTGGCGCTGCCCCCTCCCTACCCACGCCCACCAATAAACCCTACAAAAAAAAAAAAAGAGTAGCCCTGCTCGCGGCAACTAGAGAAAACCCGCGCGCAACAACGAAGACCCAATGCAGCCGAAAAATAAATAAAATAAACAAAAAGAAATTAAAAAAAAAAAAGAAAGAAGTAGTAAGGTATAATCAAGCTAACTTTTTCCCTTTTGGTACCATTCAGTGTAAACGTAGCGCCCGTGGTTCCCCAGCGTGGCAGGTAAGGCTCTGCTGGCATCGGCGGCTGTGGGGTACACAGCAGCTCTTGAGTGTTCTGTCTCCATTGATTGGTTCAGGTGTTATTGTCGCCTTAGACTTGCCTCATCGAGGGCAGGTCTTCCAGTGGCTGCTCTCAGGTCTTTCTGATGAGGATGTGGAAAAGTAAGTTGTGTTTGCTCTTTGATGAGTATGTGTGTATATACACAGTCTCTAATTTAATATGCCAGGTACTATTTGAAAAGTTATACAATTGATTCAAAAGTATCCTCCCTGTATTTGTAACCATATTATATGGTTTTATACACACACACACACACACACACACACTCAAGTGTAGCGTATGTACTAAATTCTGTCTTTAAGTAGCCTAAAGAAAACTAGTTATCATTTTATCATAATGTTCAGAACATTGTCTTCAGAGAAATTTGACAGAATCATCTCTGAGGTGTTTGGAAACAGAGTTATTTTATTTACTATAAGATTGATTTCTCTGTAGTGCTAGAGCCAGCATTATGTTTGGCTGTTAAGCCTTTCTTTTCTTTTTGTTAATTTGCATCCTGCTTATCTGCCAGTGCTGGGTGCTGGGACTGAGCCTGTCACAGACTTTCTGTGTGGCCTGGCGTCATACACCCCGAGGAAGGGCAGAGCTCCCCCGGCCATCACACAGCAGCGTGGCACTGGTCCCCAGGTACCTGCACAGCGTCCTGTGGGCTCTGATGGAGTCCGCCTAGCCAGGCTGGCACGTGCTCTGCTCTTCAAGAGAAGCAGGACCGCGGGCTCCGCAGCAGGGCCTTGGGGTTGACGTGCTGACACCGTTTGCTTAAGCCTCAGTGCAGGCAGAAGCTCACAGTCAGTATGAGCCCTTTCACAGAAAAGAAGGGCCACATTGCACATGTACTACAGTGCTGGGTTTTATGATAGTTTCCTTTCTGTGTGTTTTATTATACGTTACGTTCCCTATCCTAAGTGGTGTCACTTTCACTTAGCACTTCGCTGTGCGTGACCTGGGAGTGTGGCCTGCACGAGGCTGTCCTAGGCGTAGGGCGGTGACGTTCTCTGTAACCCAACCCGGCAGGGCAGAAGTACGTGGAAAGTCACGCAGAGCCAGAGAGCTTTCTAACAGCCAGAGCTGGCCGGCAAGGGAGAGGGTTCCTTAGAGGGCAGCACCCTGGAGAAAGATCTCTTGCAGGAATGTGAGAGAAGCGTGTCTCGAATCCGAGCCCAGGTGCATTCTGCACGTCCAGGACAGGTCCTGTCTGTGCTATTGTTCTGGCATGATTATTAACAGTCCCAGTTAGGTCATGAATTGCTTCATCACCCTACTTACACTATCTTTTTAAGCCTGTATTATGATCCTAAGTATTGTACACTTGTCCATTAGAAATTCCTAAATTTTAAAAACAAAATAATCCTTTCTCACTGATTAGAATAAAAGACTTATAGGGTGTGAGGTGGTGATAATCATAAAAATAATACATGCTCTTTGTAACAGGTCCATGTAATAGAAAAGTGTATAAAATAAAAGGTGAACATTTTCTTACATCCCTCTGAGTCCACCCCTCGGAAGTAATCACAGTCAGCAGTGGGGGCTGTCCTGCCACACTCCTCCAGTCCTCACACAAATGTGCACGTGGGTATCTGGGTGTTTGACGGGTGGGGTTGGGCCCTTACCTCTCAGGCAGTGAGCATACAGAAGGCACTTGTAGCTGTGCTGAGAGCAGGGTGTCTGCCCGTCTCCCCTCCAGGCGAGCATCACAGACTACGTGGTGTTTGACCAGTGCAGCTTGTTCCAGACCATAATCCATGCCACACACTCGGTGGCCACAGCGGCCCAGGTGCCTGTTGAGAAGGTGGCGGATAAACTGCGCATGGCGTTGTGGTCTCAGCAGCTCCAGTGCCAGCCGAGCATTCTAGGGGTCAACAGCAGCGGCGTCTGGATCTCCTCGGGCAAGGATGAAATCCACGTCTCTAGAGGAAGTCTCATCGGTGGGTGAATCACTTCATTTCCACGCCGGCTTGATAGGCAGCTCCTCTTTAGAGGCAGCATTTAAGGAAAAGCTTTATGATCTCAAGTGGAAAAGATAATTTAGTGCCAGTGGTATGAAGTGTCTGGAATGGAGGCATTCCCTCTGCTTTCTATCAGTTCCCTCCTTTTAGTCTGTCATTCCTATGACTTGGATACCAGAGTCTGGATGGTGTGTGATCAGTTTCCATTAGGAACCGATTAGGCTATAAGAAGAGCACATGGAGCTCATTTTTATGTTAATAATTTCCAGCTAAATGAAAAAATCCTCCCATTCCTAAAGAGCCTAGTAGAAAAACTTACCACACTGTTGAAAATGCAAGGCTCTGGCCAGATCTGTAAACGTAGGTGTAGATCCGCATTTACCCACGGGGGCTTCATTTCTGTGAGTGGGCCCTGCTGTGTGAATTTTCTCCAGCTCTTCTCCCCCTGCGTGGCCCCCCGACCCTGGGCTAGACGGTGCTCTGCTGGTCGGGCTGGCTCTTGCAGTGCTGGCTTGGGTCTCCTACTTTGAGGACACTCTAGAACCAGCTGTAAGGGGTTTTGAAGACCAGTTGGTCTAGAACTAAAGTTCTGAAGTGTGTATGGTTTTTCTTTCTTCTTTCTTTAACATACTCTTCCCATTATTCTTTCTAGGCACTTACTGGAATAATGTTGTTCCCCGGGGGACAGCTTCTGCCACAAAGTGGGCCTTTGTGTTGGCTTCCACTGCTCCCACAAAGGAAGGTTGGTTGGGGAGTGCAGTGCACAGGTTGGCAGCTGAACAGTTAAAACTGTGGTCTGACATGGCCTAGTTGCGGCGGGAGCATGGCCGTGGGACCCTCAGGGACTGGATGCGGTAGTGTCACAGGCCAGCAGCCCTCGTTGGCTGAGCTGAGGGCCCCCGAAGCTGGCTAGGCCTGCCCAGGAGAGAAGGATCCGGTGTGGTGACCTGAGTGGGTCTGGAGGCGAGCTATCCTTCCGAAGGAGGGGAGTGTACAGTGTGACCTCTGAGGCCGGCAGCTGCTGACTTCAGTGACACGTCTCAGGGCCATAGCACAGGGCCAGTAGGCACCAGCTTCTCTGGGTGCCTGGCCATTTCCCCTGCGAATTCTGTCACCTCCTCACAGGCTGGTTTACAGCCTCTGGCTGGCCTAAGTCCCACTGTGATGCCCCTGGTAGGGCAGACCTCCCAAAGACCTGACCACAGCTCGGGGTTTGGAGCCAGGAGAGGCAGTGCAGCTACCCCAGGAGATGAGAGCTGGGGCAGTCAGGCGGCCCCAGCGCAGGCTGAAGCCTCCTCCCAGGATCACGCTGAGAGTCAGATGAGAAGATGTCGGGGGTCTCTGCAGTTGGTGAGTTCGAGCCCGTAGTCCCACTAGGATGTGCAGAACTTGGTCATTACAATAAAATGCTTCCTCCCCAGATCATTCTGACCGCAGTTGTGCAATAATTAAGCTCTGCAAACCATAGGTTCTTTCCCAAGCTTGGCACAAATCATTCGGCAGCAAAACCTGACCTGAGCTGATGGGAGGCTCCTTATTGCCTCCGTCTGTCCTGCTGACTGTGACTGTGACGTGTTTTGTTGCAGGAACGTTGCTGCACTTCGTGGGGGGGGTGGGGGGGTACTGCCTGGCTCCCAGGCTGTTCCATAAACATATGGCATACCCATTACCTTATGTTTTCAAGGTCCAAGGTAATTTTGAATTCCAGACCATAACTGGTCCCAAGTTTTCGATATACTTTAGATAATATATTCTGACTGAGGTTTTAATTTCCCCAAGTATGGTTTGCATTTTAAAGTGAATTAAACCTGAAGGTCTCTAAAAACGGGGGAGAGAATGAAAGCATGCAATTTTGAGGTGAGGATGGGAGGAAAAGGCTTTCCAGCTTTCCGGGCCTTTTCTAGCAGCCTCCACCCCGCCAGACCTCCCCTCACCCCGCCACCAGGACAGGGGAGGGTCCTCGGTGCCGTCCTTCCGAGGCATTGCTGACCTTGCTCCCTCTAGGACACTGGTTAACACACCAAGTTGAATGCTTCCCGGTCCATTATACAACGTCCAGGGTCCGGACCTCTGAGGCAACGTTGTGGGCCTCCTAAGGTCTCGTTAGCCCAGCTTCCTTTCATTTCTTTAAATGTGTCGGACTTGTTTCCTATGAACTGGCTGGTCCCGGTGCATCCCCCTGAGTCCTGGCTGCTCCTTCCCCGAGGTGGGGAGTGAGGGTGGGAGCTGGGCAGCCAGCCTCTGAAGGCAAAGGCTGCCCCGAGAGGCTCGCCAGTGACGCCATGACCTCTCCGCAGGAAGCTCCCTGTGGCTCTGCCAGAGCAGCAAGGACCTGTGCCGCGTCAGCGCCCAGCACGCCCAGTCACGCCCGTCCACCGTGCAGCTGCCCCCCGACGCCGAGATGAGGGCCTACGCCGCCTGCCAAGACGCCCTGTGGGCCCTGGATAGCCTCGGCCAGGTGTTTATCCGGACGCTGTCCGCGAGCTGCCCCACGGGCATGCACTGGACGAGGCTGGACCTCTCGCAGCTAGGTATGCCCGCCCCCGCCGCCAGGCCCTGCCTTCCAGCCTCATCAGGAGGGGTGTCCCACCTGCTTCCCGGGGCCCTGTGTCCAACTCTCGTGAATTCTTGTAGGCTGCTTGGTCGGTTGCTGGATTTCAGGAGGTCGATTAGCCGCTCTTGCAGGGTAATGGGCCTCTTAAGAATTTTGTGAGGAGCTTTTCTTTCCCACGCTTTACGTGTCACAGGGTTTTCAGAACCCAAGAGGAGCATGAACTCAGAGAAAGCTGCTGTAAGACACGCTCGAGATGATACTGTGGATGCAGCTGCCTCTGCTGGTCTGTCTGAATGTGGCAGTTGCTTTGTGCCCTTTCCGACGCAGGGTCCGCGGCCCGCAGCCTGGAGAGTGCCCAGTTCTCCCGCTGCTCAAGGGGTGTGTGCCGCCTCCCGCTGCCGCCCTCTCTGAGTCTCCCCTACAGGGCTGCAGGGAAGCAGCATGAGGCCATTTACAAATAATTCATTGCTGTTCCAAGGAATACGATGAAAGAATGAGCCCACACCCTTAGGTTATCCTCTGGGCAGATGGGCAGGTGTGGCTGTCAGAAGGTGCAGGCTGCGCCAGGCAGCTCCAGAGTCCATGCGAGCCTTAGGAATACTTCCCTGCCCAACGGTTTCCCGTTTTGGTGAAATGATAACCAGTATTTTGTTTGTTAGGTGGTAGAATTGAATTTTACAAGCATTTAACATTTGAGAATTCAACCACATGTACTGGTTTGAAAAAAAAAAAAGGACAAGGCAGAAGGGAAGGGAGGACGCCTTGTCCACCTCCCGCCCTGGCAGCCCCTGGCTGCCTCTCCAGCTGACGGCCTCTCACCATCCCATGATGTGCAGAGGTATCGTCAGTCTTTTGTCCCACGAGGCCCCCAAATACAACCCAGCTTAGCTAAAGAAGCAGGTTGGTTCTCCACTAAAGAAGTAAGCTTATTCCAAAGCTAGGAATTTTCCTGGGTCATTTTGATCGTGCTTTTGGCCTCACTCGCACCCTGTGTTTTGAACCTAATCCCAGCCCCAAGGCCGGTCACAGTCCAGCTTCTGAGAGCGCCTGCCAGCCGCCATCATCAATGGTGATGGACCAGAGAGGCTGCAGCTGGCCGTGGCTCTGCCTGCCAGTGCGGGGCCGTCTTCCCGCCTGCCCCGGGGAGCCTTTCCTTGGTTCAGAGATCCTGTGGGCCTGAGCCATCCTCCTTTGGCCCCCAAGCAGAGCAGTTTGGGAGTTTCTGGAGGTAAAAAGGCCAGGGCGAGGTTGGTGTCCTCCTCGCTACAGGATCCTGGGAGCGCTGGGGGCCCTGCCGGCCCTGCCCTTGCCCCCTCTGGGGCAGAAGCAGAGCTCGGTCCGGCACCACCGCTCAGAGGAGGCCTCTGTGCTGCAGCACATGCCAAGAGAACGGCCTCGAGTGCGGCTTGGCCTCCGGGCTCCGGCCCACAGCTCACGCCTCCCTTCGCATTCAGTCCAGTCCTCCCGCACTGGCACACTGGTGCGCTGGCCAGAGTGTTACAGGCCTCTGAGGCGGCTGGCTGGGTTTCCCTGGGGTCGGTGGCCGTTCTTTCAAGGGGAGTGACTCGGCTTCGGTGGGATTGAGTCTCACTTTCAGAGAGGGAGGGGCCAGACAGGGCCACCCTGAGTCCAGGTTGTGCTTTGGTTTTCCCTGTGTGCTGGGGGCAGGGGTGCGGAAGCCAAGAACGGCAGGCTTTCACAGAGCCGCCCTGCCTCTTGCCTGCAGAATCGTCCGCAGTCCAGCCAGGCCTGGAGTGGCTCACACAGACCGCAGGTGAGGTGGTTGGGCCCAGGAGCGGGTCCCGGCAGAGGCAGGGCGGCAGCGGGAGCAGTGCTAGCCAGGTTGCCTTGAAACCTCAGTCCTCACCTTTCTGATGGTAATGGCAATCCCCGCCCCAGAGAGATGGTGCAAGTAAGCATCATGTGCAAACGCAACCTGTCTCAGGCAGGTGTGACGGCCTGAAAGCTGCCCAACTCCTCAAGCTGCTGGGGGAGGGGTGGTGCTCGCTCGGGTCTGGCGCCGTGCATGACGGGGGCCGAGTCCAGGAAGCTCTGCCTTGCTTAGTCTTTTTCCTGCCCTGAGCTCTGGATTTTGTTTATCTGGGTTACTGGCCGTTGCTGAGAGGATGGATAAAGACTTCTTTTACCATTTTCTGAACGTCCTGGGAGAACGAAGCAAGTCCAGAGTTGGTAGGCAGGGGAGGCGTGCAGGGAACAGCAGGAGGGGTGCTGGCCTTCCGCATGCCAGGGTCGGGGGGCGGCGAAAGGCAGGTCAGGGCCACCAGCTACTCTGTTGTTTGGCTCTTTCCAGGTATGGTCTGTGTAGCCTGTGGGACAAACCAGTGAATCAAGGTTTCTAAAAAAAGTATTATTTATATTAGGGGATGCAGATTTCGAGTTCAGGTGTGTGCTCCCTGCCAGTGTCCGTGGCAGGCTGTCATCTGTCTGGCAGCACTCATTGGAGAGTAGTGAACAGAGAGTGTAGTAACGCAGGTAGCGTTAATGCTGCCTTGCTTACTTGCCTGGGGTTTCCTGGGGTGCTTCATTGTTCTTTTAAAAGTTGGCCATGGTGGTGCTCACAGCAGTGAAAGGAAGCACAGCCTTTTCAAGACTGTGGTTCTACATGTGAGGATTCTGTTCAGTAGCAAACTTCTCTTTCCCAGATGCACTTTTTTTTTTGGAAGTATAGTTGACGTACAATATTATATTAGCTTCAGGTGTACAATATAGTGATTTGATACTTTTATAGATTACACACCATACAAAGTTATTGTTTATATTCCCTGTGCTGTATGTTACATCTTTGTAATTAATTTGCTTTTTATTGTTTTTAATTTAAATTAAAAAAAATTTTTTATAAATCTATTCATTTTTGGCTGCATTGGGTCTTCGTTGCTGTGCGCGGGCTCTCTCTAGTTGCGGCGAGCAGGGACTACTCTTCATTGCGGTGGCTTCTCGTTGCGAAGCATGAGCTCTAGGTGCACAGGATTCAGTAGTTGTGGCGTGTGGGCCTCAGTAGTTGTGGCACACGGGCTCAGTAGTTGTGGCTTGTGGGCTCTAGAGCACAGGCTCAGTAGTTGTGGCACACAGGCTTAGTTGCTCCGCAGCATGTGGAATCTTCCCGGACGGGGGCTCGAATCCATGTCCCCTGCATTGGCAGGGGGGGTCTTAACCACTGCGCCACCAGGGGAGTCCTTAATTTGCTTTTTTTTTTTTTTTTTTTTTTTTGCGGTATGTGGGCCTCTCACTGTTGTGGCCTCTCCCATTGTGGAGCACAGGCTCCGGACGAGCAGGCTCAGCGGCCATGGCTCACGGGCCCAGCCGCTCCACGGCATGTGGGATCTTCCCAGACCGGGACACGAACCCGTATCCCCTGCATCGGCAGGCGGACTCTCAACCACTGCGCCACCAGGGAAGCCCCTTAATTTGCTTTTTAAATGGTAGTTTGTATCCCTTAATCCCCTTCATCTGTTTTGCCCCTCCCCCCCCTCCTACTCCCCTCTGGTAACCACTAGTTTGTTTTCTGAATCTGTGAGTCTATTTCTGTTTTGTTGTATTTGTTCATTTATTTTGTTTTTTTAGATTCCACATATAAGTGAAACATACAGTATTTGTTTTTCTCTGTCTGACATTTCACTAGGTATAACACTGTTCAGATCAGTCCACATTGTTGCAGATGGCAGGATTTCATTCTTTTTTAAGGCTGAGTAATATTCCAGTGTGTGTGTGTGTGTGTGTGTGTGTGTACACACACACACACACACACACACACACATACACCCCACATCTTCTTTATCCATTCATTTGTTGATGGACACTTACGTTGCTTGCATATCTTGCCTATTGTAAGTAATGCTGCAGTGAACAGCATGCTGGGGTGCATATATCTTTCCAAATTAGTGTTTTCGTTTTTTTCAGATGAATACCCAAGAGTGGAATTGCTGGATCAGATGTTAGTCCTATTTTTAATTTTTTGAGGAACCTCCATAATGTTTTCCGTAGTGGCTGTACCAGTTTACATTCCCACCAGCAGGGTTCCCTTTCCTCCACATTGTTGTCAACACTTGTTATTTGTTGTCTTTTTAAATCTTTTTTTTTTTGGCTGCACCAGGTCTTAGTTGCAGCATGCAGGATCTTTGTTGCCACGTGCGGACCTTCGTTGTGGCATGCAGGATCTTTAGTTGGTGTGATGCTTGTGGGATCTAGTTCCCTGACCAGGATCGAACCTGGGCCCCCAGCATTGGGAGCTCGGAGTCTTAGCCACTGGGCCACCAGGGAAGTCCCTTGTTGTCTTTTTGATGATGGACACGGGGCTCGAACCCATGTCCCCTGCATTGGCAGGTGGATTCTTAAGCACTGCACCACCAGGGAAGCCCTACATTCTTTTTTTAAATATTCTTTTCCATTACGGTTTATCACAGGATATTGGATATAGTTCTCTGTGCTATACAGTAGGACCTTGTTGTCCACCCAGTCTATATATAATAGTTTACATCTGCTAGCCCAACCTCCCACTCCATCCATCTGTTCTCTATGTCCGTGATTCTGTTTCTGTTTCATAGATAGGTTCATTTGTGTCATATTTTAGATTCCACATATAAGTGATATCATATGGTATTTGTCTTTCTCTTTCTGACTTACTTCACTTAGTATGATAATCTCTAGTTGCATCCATGTTGCTGCAAATGGCATTATTTTGTCTTTTTATGGCTGGGTAGTAGTCCATTATATATATGTACCACATCTTCTTTATCCATTCATCTGTCGATGGACATTTAGGTTGTTTCCATGTCTTGGCTATTGTGAATAGTGCTGCTGTGAACATAGAGGTGCATGTGTCTTTTTGAATTATAATTTTGTCCAGATATATGCCCAGAAGTGGGATTGCTGGATCATATGAGCTCTATTTTTAGTTTTCTGAGGAACTTCCATACTGTTCTCCATAGTGGCTGCACCAACTTACATTCCCACCGGCAGTGTAGGAGGGTTCCCTTTTCTCTACATCCTTTCCAGCATTTGTTATTTGTGGGGTTTATTTTGTAGATTTTTTAAAATCATGGCCATTCTGACTGGTGTGAGGTGCTATCTCATTGTAGTTTTGATTTCCATTTCTTAGATTAAGAGAATTCTTCAATTAAATGTCTAGCTACTGAACCCAGTTATAGAGACTGAATATGGAATTTTATGATTTATGACAATCCTAGTTTTTGGAAGAAAATTTGCGTCATTTAGCAGATATTTAATATGCTCATAACGTTTGATTTCCCAGTACACATAATGCATATGTCAGGCATTGGGATGTTTAGCAAACTAATGCAATTTGTAATTGAATACATTTGGTCACAGCATTTAATGAAGAAATATTCAGTGTCGGTTCGTGCCTTTAGATAACAAATAGGATTATATTATATAGTAATTTATGCAGAAAAGTGTCTTATAAATAGTAAAACACCAAATAAATGCCACTTTTTGTTCTAAAATATATGTTTAAAAAGTAATCCTAAAGGGAAAATGTCTCATCTGTTGAATAAAGTAATTAAAACTTTTTGTTTTTAATGGGAGGGAAAAACAAAATAGGGGGAAGACAGGAAAATCGCAGCATGCCTGTGTTAGTCAGACTAATATTGTTATAGTAACGAGTCCCAAATACCAGCGATGTAACACAGTCAAGGTTGCTTTCTGCTCCCACGAAGTTGGCTCTCGACCTGTCAGTCTTTCGATGGTTGTGGTAGTGGTTCCCAGGTGGTGGCTTACTGACCCCCTGCGGTGCTCTGTGGCTCTGCCCCTGTGGTCGCTGTGGCAGGGGACAGCTGAAAGGCAAGCGCCCTCTTGCCAGCTCTTTTATGGTTCAGTTTAGAAGTGACAGATTCCTTCTGCTCACAGCCCATTGTCCAGAACCAGTGATGGGGCCCCGCTTAACTCCAAGGGACACTGACGAGCCAGGGAGTGCTGGGGAGGCCAGTGTTCTCTGCCACCTGCCCTGACCTCATACATCTGCACCCAGGCAGCCTGGGAGACCCTCTGTGAAGTAGGAGACTACGGAAAAGCCCTCGATTAAACGTTTTCTTCTTTGACCTGTCTCTTCAATTCAGAATAAGCTGATTTATACACTGAAGAGTATATTCTAGCAACCTTTTATGTTTGTTTTAAAAGAATGCTTGCCTTGTAATATGAACTCCGTGTTTCACTGGTGGTGGTGTTATTCTCTGCTAATTCTGAGATGCTGACCCAGTGTGTTTTTGTCACCACGTAACTCTCTTCACATGAGCAGCCACCACCTGTAGTTCCTGTTAGGGCAGGTTGATGACTCCAACATAAAATTATTTTTAATTAGCATTTTAAAATTAGAATTTGTTTCTTGGCCGTTTCTGGAATTTACTGCTGAAAGTACTTTATTTGGATCGCTACAAATCTTTTAATGGGTAATGTTAGAGCTCTAGGATGTCTATTTTAACTCCCCGGTAAGACATTCTATAAAAGATTTTAAAATTACAGCTAATTTCAGTATAAGAGAAATCATCATCTTCAGGAAATGTACAAAGGGATACTAAGAATTTTTTCAGTAGTAGTGGGTTGATACTTTTAAGCTAAACACATGTGACGAGATTTCCCCATAGCAGGATCCGTGCCTGTATGTTTTGGTGTAGACACATGGGCTGTCATCTGATACCGGTGACAACTGTGTGAGGTGGCCAAGAGCAGCACTGCCAGTGAATATAGCCGCACCGCCTTTTTCCCCTGCTTTACAGTCAGAATGAGTCATCCTCTAACTTAGTCATCAGAAGACAAACCGTTCACCTTGAAAAAACGGGCAAAAGACTTGACAGATGCTTCACAAAAGAAGGTATACAGATGCCCCCCATAAGCACATTAAAAGATTCTCAACATCACTAGTTACCAGGGAAATGCAAATAAAACCATGATACCACTTTACACCTGCTAGAATGGCTGACAGAGGTGCCAGAAGTGGATGCTGGTTAGGGTGTGGGCCACCAGCACACACCGCTGGTGGGCGTGTAAAATGGGAAGACTGGTGGTCTCTTTCCACGTTAAACAGATATCTACCCTATAGCCTGGAGCTCCACTCCTAGGTGTTATTCAAGAAAAACAACACATGTTCACAAAAAAAAGTATTCTGCAGGAATGATGGTAGCAGCTTTACTCCTAAGAGCAAAAAGTGGAAATGGCCCAAGTGCCCATCAGCAGGATACACCAGTAACTGTGGCGTTGACATGCAGTGGACTCGTGCTCAGCAGTAAAAAGGAGTGACTGGATGAATGTCATGAACAGAACATCACGCTGAGTGAAAGAAGCCAGGCCCAGGGAGTGCATACCTGTGATTCTGTTTTTACAGTCATCTAGACCAGACTGAACAGATACATGGCGATAGAAATCAGAAGAGTGGCTGCCTCGGGGCAGAGGGGCAGAACTTTCTTGAGGAAGGGGCTTGAGGGAACTTTCTGGGGCAATGAAAACATTCCATAACTTGATACGCCATGGGTTACCCAGGCATGTTCATCTGTCAAAAGCGAGGGAACTGACCGTGTAAGATCTGTGTGTTCACGGGACGTGGGGCCCTGGAGGTCAGAGGTGGCTGGCGGGGAGGGTCAGGCAGGCCTGGGTTCAAGCCGCGGCCTGCCCTCTGCCTCCCGGCTTGTCCACGTTCTTTTCCGCGGTCTGCGTCCTGACGGCCTCACACATGAGCTGGGGCGGCAAGAGCCGTGCATCATCGTCGCGCAGGTCAGTAACCATGGGCTGTTGCTCTTTCTGCCACATAAACTATTAACCAGATTTCTCTCTGAAGACTCCTCCCATTTCCTTTCCTCTTAAAATTGGTTTAATAAACAAGGAGAAATGTAAAAAGAGAAATGAAGATCCTGGGAGGCTTAGTTAATTTTAATTCTAATTAGGATCAAGATTACCTGAAAGAGGGACTTCCCTGGTGGTCCAGGGGTAAAGAATCCGCCTGCCACTGCAGGGGACACGGGTTCGATCCCTGGTTGGGGAACTAAAATCCCACATGCCGCGGGGCAACTAAGCCCGCGTGCCACAACTATTGATCTCTCGCGCCTCAGCGAGAGAGCCCACGTGCCCTGGAGCCTGCACGCCACAGCCAAAGAGAAAACCCACATGCTGCAACTAGAGAGAAGCCCGCGCACCACAGTGAAGATCCCGCGTGTTGCCACTAAGATCCTACGCAGCCAAAAAAAAAAAAAAGATTACCTGAAAGATGAATTCCCTTGCCCCAAATCCAGAATTTGCTGGTAATAGTCACATATCTGATGAAGCTAATGATGGGGCCCACACTGAGATATTAATTGCCGGGCTTGGTGGCTCAGGGCACTGTCCGGATGGCATCTTGATTATTTTGCCCGTGGTGTGCAAGGGCTGCTCTGTGGCGCGGGGCAGGTGCCGGGGCAGCCAGAGGCGTTGGTGACTCCCGTGCACTGTAATGTTCTCAAGCAACAGAGTTCACCTGCAAAGGTAGCATCATCTCTTTCTTTGAAGTATAAAATCAAAGTTCATAGATTAAATGAAACATGAGTCACCTTACAAGAGTAATTAATGTGTGTACTTTTTCTCTATTTGTCTATAGGAGCTGTAAAACTGATGAGCCTGGCATGTGGAAATCAGCATGTCTGGGCTTGTGATTCCAGGGGTGGAGTTTACTTCCGCGTGGGTACCCAGCCTCTGAATCCCAGTCTGATGCTTCCAGCCTGGATAATGATTGAACCGCCTGTCCAGGTAAGCAAGAGTTAACTGATACCAACTTGCTCGTCAGTAAGCTGCTTGGGTGCTGGTGTTGGGGAGAGGACCATGCCTGCTAGCGTAGCCTCCCAGCAACTGGGGGAGGAGGGGCGTGTCAGGGAGCCTGGGGACTAAGGTGTGCCCCAGGTCAACACGTGCTCATTCACTGGCATCCCACACCTGGAATTTGATATTTGTGAAGTTTAGGGCTGAACAGATTAACGATTATCTGAGCCAGTGCTGCTTTTTTTCTTCTCAAAGTAAGTGTTTCATTTCTAACTTTTTACAGAATGAACATTATTTTTGAAAACATCAAACAATATCCAAAAGTATAGAGAAGAAAGTAAAAGTCATTTTAAAATCTTGTCGTAAAGATAACGTGTTATTATGTTGTGAGTGCCTTTCCTGGTTTGTTGAAAAAATCCTTCTCCTGTGCACCCTGTCCCCTCCCCCGATCCTGGCCATATTTTAGTTTACCATGTATCCTAAATGTTTTTCCTTTTCTTTTGACTGTTCCACCACTCGAATCAGAAGCGGGAGTGTGATTTTAGTGTACTATTTAGTTACCCTTAAATACCTGATGGGCCTGGTTGCTATGTTAAATATATTTCTGCTAAAATTTATAAATGGGGGGCTGTGATTTATTGAGAGTTATTTGCTCTAACTGTTGGTAGTCCCCACTTTGTGACTTTGCTGGGGAGAAAAATGAAGTTGCCATATGCAGAGGTGGCAGTGTGGCAGGAGTGGTTAGTCCTTGAACAAAAAGTGCTCAACGGGGACAAGAAGGAAATCAGGTGTTTGGATGAATGCCTGTGTTCATGACTCTCTACATTTTGGGCATCATGAACCCTCAGATATGGGGCAGCTGAGGTCAAGGTGCAGGGCTGGTCATGAGGACCACCAGTCCTGCCCACGGGACACAGGGCCTGTGCTGGGAGACCCTACAGTTGGGCAGGAGTCCGGTCCCGAGTTCTTTGAGGTCATTGGTCAGCACTCATGGCCACGGGGAGGCTGGCTGCACGTGGATCTTCCTCCTCACAGGGTCCTGCGAAGAGCGAGTAGAATCGCGTCTGTGAATTAGAAAGCGCTGTGCAGACACCCACTCCGCATTCGTCTGCACGTGGCGGTGCGCTGACAGCCACGGTCAGGCGACAGGGGCAGGCGTTGTCGCGGGCACTGTGGGCTCTGCTGGTGCGCAGCGAGGGTGAAGGCAAGCTGACCTCTAGCTGGTTTCATTGCTGATGTGAAGCCCCCTCAGACGAGGTGCCCTCTTGTTGCCTGCTCCTGTGGTATGTCGCTGTCAACCTCTGACAGCTTTATGTTATTTCTTAAAGAGTTGTAATTCACCATTTTACAGCAATACAACTCAGTGGTTTTTTGTATATTCGAAAAGTTTTGCAACCATCACTGCTATCCAATTCTAGAACTTTTTCACCACCCCGAAAAGAAGCCCCCTACCCATTGGTAGACACTCCCTTTTCTTCCGGAACCCCTGTCTCCTCAGCCCCTGGCAGCCGCTAATCTACTTTGTGTTTCTATGCACTTGCCTATTCTGGATTTTCCTTTTTCATATAAATGGAATCATATAATATGTGGCCTTTTCATCTGCCATCTTTCACTTGGCTTCATGTTTTCAAAGTTCATCCATGTTGTAACGTGTGTCAGTACTTTATTCCTTTTTATGACTGAATAATTCCACTGTACGCATAGACCACATTTTGCTTATCCTTCATCAATTGATTGACATTTGGGTTGTTCCTACTTTTTGGCTACTATGAATAATGCTGCTGTGAACATTCGTGTACAAGACTATGTGGACATGCGTTTTCAGTTCTGCTGGGTGTATAACTTTAAGTGGAATTGTGGGGTCATATGGTGATCATATGTTTTAACTTCTTAAGGAACCACCAGACTGTTTGCCACAGTGGCTGCAGCATTCTACGTTCTACCAGCAATGTATGAGGATTCCAATTTCTCTGCATCCTCACTGCAAAATTTCTCTTGCCCAGTTTTTAAATTCTAGCCACCTTAATAGCTGTAAAATAGTATCTCATTGTAGGCTCCTTTTAAAAAGCAGGGTAAAAAAGTTTATTGAAACAGGAAAGATTAATTTTTATATTGTGTGGGTTACTGAATGTTCTGATTTATATTAGAACAGACCTGCAGAGAAAGGAAAGCTGATCTGATCCAACTTGGCACTTTTTGTTATAATTCATTTGGTTTTTATGGTTTGTTTTTTTAAGATTTTTTTGACGTGGACCATTTTTGAAGTCTTTATTGAATTTGTTACAATACTGCTTCTGTTTTATGTTTTGGTTTTTTGGCCACAAGGGATGGGGGATCTTAGGTCCCTGACCAGGGCTCGAACCCGCGTCCCCTGCATTGGAAGGAGGATTCTTAACCATTGGACCACCAGGGAAGTCCCTCAATAGAGTTTTTAAAAATTTAGATATAATTGACGAATGGCATTGTATTAGTTTCACATGTACAACATAATGATTCAGTATTTGTATATCTTGCAAAGTAATCACCACAATAAGTCTAGTAAACATCTGTCATGATATGTAGTTACGAATTTTTTTTTCTTGTGATGAGAACTTTGACGATCTACTCTCTTAGCAGCTTTCAAATATGCAATACAGTATTAACTATAGTCACCATACTGTACATTACATCCCCATGTCCTTGTGATTTTGATTTGCATTTCCCTAATGACTAATGAGCATCTTTTCATGTGCTTATTGGTCATTTGTATATTTTATTTGGAGAACTAAAATATTCAAGTACTTTGCTCATTTTGTAATTGGGTTGTCTTTTTATTATTGAGTTGTAAGACTTCTTTATGTATTCTGGATACTAGACCCTTTTAAGAATTATCATTTACAAATGTTTTCTCCCATTCTCTTCACTTTCTTTATGGTGTCCTTTGATGCACAAAAGTTTTTTATTTTGATGAAGTCCATTTTATCTACATTTTCCTTTAGTTGTTTGTGCTTTTGGTGTCACATCAAGGACTGCATGAAACTGCGAATTCCTCTTCCTTTCAACATTTAGATTCTAGAATAACCTCTAGGAAGCAAAGCTAAAACTGGGGGAAGAAAGCTTTATTTGCAGTGCTCTGTTGACTCTGGTGATCTACAGCTTTGCCCAGGAAAATGGCCAAAATAGAACAAATTCACATGAAAGGGCTTCAAAGCTGTGCTTTGAATAAAGTAGTGATTGCTAAATAGGCTGTTAAACATTAACTATTTCAAGTAGTTCCACTAAATGAGACCACATTTTCTTCTTCAGTAGCTTCAGTGCGCTCTACAAGAAATGCACTTGGCCGTGGAATTTGTAGGTAGAGAGTTGGTTCCTGTGGGGACAAAAAACAGGCTTTATATTTGCACAGGCCCTTTGCTGCGCTTTTCCAAGGCCTGCTGAGGACCAAGGCCTGGGCCAGCCACTGTCTGCCGGAGCTGCGATGGAACGCTGTGTCCAGGCAGTGTGTCACATGCTCGGTGGCCTCACACTCAGTGTTTTAGGACAAAGCCTACCTTTAAATTGAATTTCAAATTAACCTTAAAGTTGCAGAGGGTCCTGAGAAGACTAGTCCAGTGGCGGGGTGGGGGTGGGGTGGGATGAGGCCTTGTTAAAAGATTTACCCTGGTCCAGGAAGATCCCACGTGCTGCCGAGCAACTAAGCCCGTGCGCCACAACTACTGAGCCTGTGCTCTACAACCCGCCAGCCACAACTGCTGAGCCCGTGTGCCACAACTACTGAAGCCTGTGCACCTAGAGCCCATGCTCTGCAACAAGGGAAGCCACTGCAATGGGAAGCCCACGCACCACAACAAAGAGTAGCCCCTGCTAGCCACAACTAGAGAAAGCCCATGTGCAGCAACGACGACCCGACGCAGCCAAAAGTAAATAAATTTATTTTTAAAAAAAGATTTAGAAAATCAGAACAGTTTGGTTGAATTCAAGTATCAGAATGTAAATGGGGTTTCCATGTTTTGATCGTAATCGACCTCTTTTTTAAAAAAATTTATTAATTAATTGTTTTTGGCTGCTTCAGGTCTTCGTTGCTATGCACGGGCTTTCTCTAGTTGCGGCGAGTGGGGGGCTACTCTCCGTTGCAGTGTGCAGGTCTCTCATTGCGGTGGCTTCTCTTGTTGCGGAGCACGGGCTTCAGTAGTTGTGGCTCATGGGCTTAGTTGCTCCGCGGCATGTGGGATCTTCCCGGACCAGGGTTCGAACCCATGTCTGCTGCATTGGCAGGTGGATTCTTCACCACTGCGCCGCCAGGGAAGTCCTCGACCTCTTTCTAGTTTGTTTTATTTCTTCTTGGACATGCACATCCTGGTCTACGGGTAGGATGTGTGCAGCTGAAGCAAACGGAAGCAGTAACAGATGCTAAAGGGCACAGAGAAGTGAAGTCACAGGGATCTTCTGAAATTAGCAGCGGTTTCTCAATTTCTGTGTCCCTTTCTCTTCTCTGGTAAAACATCCCTCCTGTAGGAGTTTTGGGGTGAAGTTTTAACAAAGTACTCAAAACGAATGACTCAGTTTTCAGACTTGCTAACATTTGGAAGGATTTGGAGAAAATATTTATAGTTATGTTTAGCATCTTTTCTTTGGAGTTTGCTGCTTCAGTGGGAGAATTTTCTGTTCATAGTAGAGGTGTGTGTAAAGCGAGCACAGTTGATGCTGTGATTTCGCTGCACTGGGGGCACTGTATGCCCGAGGGGAAGAGGCTCATCCAGCTAGCCCCACCCGCACTAGTCCCACCTCTTCCTTCGGAGGACCCTCTCTGCCTTCCCTTTGCCCCCTCCGCCTCCAGAGCAGCCCCTGCTCTTCCCTAGCCCGCCCAGTGTCCTGGCCTCCCCTATGGGAGCCTTGAGCTGACTCTTCCTGTGTGGACTGGCCCATCTGGTCTCCGTGGTCGTTTACTCTGCCTGGATTATAGCTCTTCCTGGAAAAGAGAGAAACTAGGAGAACTAAGACTAATATGACTG